GTAAAACTAAACTCATTCGCTCCTCTTTGGGACAATCATGGTACAAATGTAAATGGGATCGGACGTCAAATATTGGTCAGTGATGCGTAAAAAAAATGTCTTTCACATGTCCACCATAAATCTTCCTGAAAGCTTTTCGGGATTAGTGAGTGCTATAACCTTGATCAAGCAAGTTATTTGCTATTTGCAAGTTATTAGATAAATCAGTATCATTTTCCAGACGATTGGGAAAAAGAAAGCAGCATTAACAAAAGTAACTGATACTCAGCATTGACAAATAAATTATGTCGATCTTGATATTTAATTGAGGTAAGAAAACATGAGTGTATGACCGTACGTTTTATGTATACACTTATTAATTGGGCGTTACGCAATAGTGTTCATAATAATTATTCATATGCAATTAATATTTTAGAGAAATGGATATCCTCCTATTCCTGTTGCAAACTGACAAAAACATACCGGTAGGAATGCACATACTTTGGGTAACCTCTTCTGTATGTCAAGACAAACATTAAGAATTTCTATTCACCGTTGTCTTAGCATGGAGTCAATATTATATCATAATAGCGAAGAAACAGTTTCCATAATCATACAAAATATATCATACAAATCTTTAACATAATCCACCAACAAATATTGTGGCTGTACAAACCTGAGACAGGGAACCTTCCATGTTGAGGATTTGTATTGCCATGTTTACTGGAACGGGGACAACTGACCCCAGGGCAATGATCCAGCCGAAGACGATGGCAGTCTGCGGATACTCGTACCCTCCGTATCTTGGAGGAGTGTAGGACGCCAGTGTCAATACCAAAGCAGCCTGAAGAGATATGGTATTTACATCCCAAAATATAAACATACAACATCGTGGCATGCAGAGGTATCGGGTTGCACTTTGCTGATGGCAATATTTACGAAAATAATGAATTTACATTTCTTTCGCGAATCGTGCGACATATGCCATTGAATAACTCAATGCAATTCACTGTGCAGAGTTGTGTCCCTTGGGCACGCCAGAGAACTATGATCACGGGTTCAAATCGTTGTTCGAAACGAGACCAGCATCACGTCGGACATTCATCCCATAACAAAACGACACGCCGTGTTATAACAGTAACACTGACAAATGCGGTTTTAAATTCACTCATTTGTTTACAATTTAAGCATGTTGAAATATCAGCTGGAAGTAGTATTATCTACAATGCCACGCGGTGACGCAATGCCCTATGTGTGTTCTACTATACATTATGCAATGTGTAAGATCAAACCACCTACAGCCATTACAACAGGGGTAATGATGAAACAGGACACTTTGTAGATTACAGGAAGACGTTTCCCAGTCATCATTTCCACATCAGCTGAGAAACGTTCAGCACCTGTGAAATACATGCATGAAAGGTTACATCTACTAAAGACGACACCCCAAGTAAACGATACAAATATAACATTTATAAACATAAAATGCAACGTCATGCATTTCGTCCTTGTGTACCCAACGAGGCATCTGTAACACTTGCTATAATTTGGATTACATTTTCCCAGTAAGGTACAGATTCTAGTACTTCAATTGGGTTGAGTCCCATCCGGGATTCGGACCCACGCCCTCAGAGTTAGGCACCGAATAGCCAGCAGACAAGTCAGCCGTCTAACCCACTCAGCCAACGAAAGTTGTAAGTCGATCAACTGGTAGTCTAGACTTTGTGCACCCCTCTGATAAGTACAAATTTGCACGGCTCCCACGGTCGGAAGCTATGAATATACAATGCCATTTAGAAAGTGGTTAACTGACTCTAAGAGTGTGGGTTCGAATCCCGGAAGGAACGCAACCCAATTAAAGTACTGGAATCTGTACTTTACGGAGAAAGTGTAATCCCACATACAACATGTGTTTCGTTTGACCAAAGTAATCATGCCTTGACCTTAATTGTGCCAATCAACTTGGTTTTACCACCGGTCGAGTGTCACTTGATAGAACTCGTGTTATGAATATAATACTTGATGTTGATAACAATACTGAAATGGATATTAAAATGTTGAATGCCACATTAAACCGATTCGTTCCAGTAATTGTATTTCTTATACAGAATAGTAAATGTTGTGAATGTCTTTACCGTAACACCAGCCAACAGCCACACACTCTAGAACAGCAATAACATAACTTGCCACTGCCCCGACATACCAGTCAACCAACTGGAAAATGTAGACTCCGCCCTGGAACAGATTGCACATGTTGACGTACAATTCACTGGTAGCGTTCCCTTCGAATGCAATCATCTCGAAGGGAAGTGCAGCAAAACACTGTTGTGTCGAACATACAATGTGTGAAGCCTATTTCTGGTGTGCCCCGCCCTGATATTGCTGGAATACCGCTAAAACGGCGTAAAACTTGGATAACTGGAAACATTTAATCGTTTTATTGACTATGCCTGTAGATCTTTGACTGCGAGAGGCACCTGCATACATCTAAATTATTACATATCTACAATATTAACGATTTTCACAAGACTGAATTAAATATCAATCCATTCGTGTTCAAATGAGTCCAGAACCATCATATAATCAAATCCAAACTCATCCAACCAACCAACCTACCAACTACCAACAATATGTGAAGGAAGTGTTCAATCACATGCAAAGGTCCAAGCTTTAAACACCAAAGGCCTTAGTAAAGCTTTTAAAATATCATCTGTGGAAGATATGTGGACATTTCAATATTTGACATATAAGACATGAAAATTATATCCGATGCAGTTCCCTATTTTGACGTGTAGCCTGTGTTCCCGTGTTTTCTTTCATGAGTGGGGCGGTGGGGTAGCCTAGTGGTTAAAGCTTTCGCCCTTCGCGCCGAAGACCCGGATTCGATTCCTCACATTTGCACAATGTGTGATTTCTTGTGTCCCCCGCAGTGATATTGCTAACAGCGGCGTAAAACTCAACTCACTCACTCTATCATGAGTAGTTGAGGATGATACCCCATTTGTCTGACACGCCAGTTGTCAGACACTTGAGTGAGGGTTGAGAAGGCTCACCCCTACAGTAATAATAGATCAGCCCGATCAGCTTAAACTCATCCATGCAAGAGTTAGATCAGTATCTTATCCTTTGGTGTACGTCCTCATGCCCAGCTGTACGATTGCTACCTCCAGCCGCCTACTGAGTCTCCTCAAGACACACGTCCAACGCATCGTGAATCGTCCACGTGCCCCATCCATGATCCAGACAGTATTCGAGATGGCTGCCACCAGGACTGTCCAATTGGAATTCCCTTCTGCAGAAGTGAAAGTTTTTTTCACTCTGCCAAGGCGATATGATGGAAGGTACACGGCCTTGGAAAGAGAGCTATCGTGAAGACCTTGAAGTGGAGAAATGTCCTGATGTGCCAGTAGCTGTTTCATTCAACGACTACATAGTGACGACCTAGATGAACAATGACTACCTATTTCCACTGTCCATGTGGAATCATGATGTCACTTTCGGTTCAAGAACGGACAACTGCCTGGAAGGGTCCAGCAGCCGACTGAATACCAGCCTATCAAGCAGATACCCGAACATGTTCCGGCTGATCGTTATTTTGAAGATAGTAGAGAAGGTAGGCCGTCTGGGGATTGCCCAGTTGGACTTGGGTGCTGCTCCTCCAGCACGGAAGAGAGTGTATATAGAATTATCTTACCTCACACATAAATGTCGCTTTCTGATTGGCTGAGCGCTCTTCTATCATTTTCAATGTATCCCGCTTACAAGCGAGTAACATTTCAATGTACCCGCTGTCAGTGGCAACTCAATTGGTACTTCGTGATAGTAATTCTTTATCTCGAATAACTTTGAATCACGTATGATGTACGGAAATTACCGATGTTTTGCGAATGCAAATCGATGGAAGGGAGATAATTCTAAATCTGTTTTTCTTGTCAGCCAAATCTAACGATGGCTACAAAAAGATTTATACCCATGCTTCAAACAATTCAAAATTAACATTGAGGTGTTCGGTAAGATAAATACGTTGTTCACTGGTCCCTCGGGGCCCATGGGTTGATGTACCCTCGATGTTTGTTTATGTTCCCTGAGCCCATCCCCCCCTCGTGACCAGTGAATAACTTATAATATACAGCCGGCTGGGCAGGTTGCAGGAATAGTTGGAGGAAGAGATGACGACGACACCGTTGCATGTGTTAATTACAGGTGCCACCTGTGGGGCCGGATATGCACATCATTTCTCAAACACTTTGTATTATCACAATAGTATAACAAGCCACACTCACGACATAATCGGTGTCATACAATGGAGGGTGTGTATAGGCTTATTGAGTACAGTGGAATCTGTCTGGACTCGCCTGGGACTGACTCATTTGTCCGGATTGTAATGCAGTTCGGATTAGACACCTTTTGTCCGTTACCGTATACACTGGACGGTTTATCTATCTATGGGTTACACTTTCGTCAAACTTGTTTTTTATTTCATACAGTTACTTACATGAGTTGTCAACACAAGACCAACAATGAAGACAGCTACCACAAACACGGTAGCCATGATCGTCTGCTGATGCCTGAGTTGAAACCGCTGTGGGAGTATATCTTCCATACAACAGAGAGCTGTCTCGACATGTCCGAACTATTTACACGAAACATGCTTCGACAAAATATGGATTCAATGGCAGTAAGAGAAAACAACAGCCACAAAATGTACTTTATGATATAGTAAGTCACACGTGATACACTGTGCCATGTACACTTCCCCTCGGCCTTTGAAACTTGCCTCCACAGCAGTCATAAAGACGTCCACTACTCAAAAATGTTATCATCGTCTCTTCACGTTTTTCATCTCGTGCCAAAACAATCTATCTGTTTCACGTTTTAACACTATAAAAATATCAACGTTGGTCGATAGGCATCCTTCAAATCTTCGTTTTGTTACTTATTATTAAAACTATGTTTAGAATCGTTGTACAACAGGTTTGTGATTGCATATTGTTTTTTTTTGAAAATCCGTTTTTATTTACTTTACCATTGAGTCAACCGCCATCATCATCATGGTTGTGAAAAAGAAGACAGACCACAGTTGAGGAAGCGGAAGTAGTGCGACAGCTTCTGGGTAGATGATGAAGCCAATGCCAGGACCTGGAGTCGCGAGAGAAAACAGTTTCGTGATAATATGAATAGTCTGTTTACGAGTCTGACTGTCATAGGCATGGGTTATGAGTTACTTTGAATAAGTGGTGACAGAAGGTGTTATTAAACAGGTATTTATATTCTGCCGCACTGTTCAACCGATGACATACATGCACGGGTATCAAGTGTTCACATGACTATTTGCTGTAATAGCCTTTCAACTCACAACGGTTCGACACTGCAAATCAAAACTACACACAGTGCTTCTACTGTAACAATATTAAATATAAATTAGTGTTTGTAGTCTTAGCAGTTTGAAAAGACCACATAACGTGCCTGATCCAGACCAGCAGTAAAATGTATACATGTGTATTAAACAACTCTTGCCTTACCTAAAGTTACTACGTCAGCAACAGGCTGCTGTAGGCTATGAGCCAGGAAGCCAACTGTTGCGAACACAACAAAGCCAGCAAACACACTCGTCAACTCGCCAATGATGGCCACAGTGATTGCATTCCTGTATATGAAAGTACAAATTACTGTTGAAAGTAAATATATCAGCTATACCACTATGAGCTATCTACGCATGATAGAGCCTAACTGCCTAAACCCACATAGCTGACTCTATGATAAGCACCATGTACATCAGGGTCCATTTGTAACAAGAATCCACATTGGGTCAAGGATTCCATGAGTCGTCCAATCTTTACGGTCTCTGTTGCTTAAGCTGAACAAGCGGACAATGTGGTGTTCTCAATCATGGTGTACTGAGTGAGCGAGTTTAGTTTTACGCCGCACTCAGCAATATTCCAGCTATATGGCGGCGGTCTGTAAATAATCGAGTCTGGACCAGACAATCCAGTGATCAACGGCATGAGCATTGATCTGCGCAATTCGGAACCGATGACATGTGTCAACCAAGTCAGCGAGCCTGACCACCCGATCCCGTTTGTCGCCTCTTACGACAAGCATAGTCGCCTTTTGTGGCAAGCATGGGTTGCTGAAAACCTATTCTACCCCGGATGTTCATGGGTCCAAGGTATGCTGAAGAAATGAACTGAAGTAACACGGTGTGAGATAGTAAAAGCTTTTGATGCGTTTTTCATGATGATTTCATTCTTTTTAACTGAATGTAATGATTGAACATCAAACGTACCTTATGAGATTCGAGTGAAATGAATTGTGGCTTGCCATGACAATAAGGGTACCCCAAGCTGGACCAAGGGAGACGAACACTTGAAGGGCAGCCTCCAACCACACCTGCACATATATACATGATATGTTTCTAAGGATGCAATGTGTTCACTGTAAGCAATCTGTGTAAATATTGGAAGCAATCAACAAATATTGATCTAACAGCCAACTCTTTCACCAGACAGTCTTGGCCTTTCACGACATCATAGATGTAATAAAAGAACGGCTTGTGCATATCCTACACATGTTACAAATGCATTATGGTTTGCAGAAATTGACGCGAAAAAAGGAGGTTGATTTCAAGTCTTATAACTGCCCCTTCTACGGATGTATGATTGATAGATTATGAGGAAAAGGAGGCACAAATATCAGTTGTGCATACATGACGACTTGTCAGTAGCATATTTTTTCACATTTTTCAAGCAATTCTATTTCTTTATTCAACAATTTGTGTAAATAAAATAATCTTAAAAGGAACATTAATATAAATCTCTTGGTTCTCTATGTATTTTCCTCACTTTTTGTGCAGAAAGTGTATTGTCAGCGCGCAGGTTTTGATAAATGTCTTTTGTGACATGGTACACCGTTTGGTATTTCTTACCTTAGTTGATCTTAAGCAAACTCGAAATGCATTTTCTCCACTTAAACTGTGCTATTTCTATTGTCAGCGCGCAGGTTTTGATAAATGTCTTTTGTGACATTTTTACAAGGTGTAGTCGTCTGAGTAGAAACATACTAAACGATATCAAAAGATACCTTTTCAGAAATAGCACAGTTTATGCACTTCGAGTTTGCTTAAGATCAACTAAGGTAAGAAATACCAAACGGTGTATTCATTACCATAAATATTCCAGTATTTCAAGATCGTTGGTCAATGAGTCAAATCATTGAAATCATCTAGTACAGATACTGAGGGAATATCCTTCATATGGTAAGACATGAAATAGGTGCAGTGGTTGAACTGTTGAATCAGAATTTCGAACAACTTAACTTCTCGTGTTCTTGCTGTAATACATGATGGGTAATATTGGCATCTATGAACGTTAACACTGGTTAGATACCTGAGGATGCTGAAGACGAGTGAAGTCTGGAGTAAGGTAAACCATAATCCCACCCACAGCACCCGGCATCACGCACGACCTCACCAGCAACACCAGCAGCAGGATGTATGGCATCAACGCTGTCAGGTACACCACCTGTTGATATATATTATACATATCCGCATCAGCGATGTTTTGTAAACCAATTATCATGCTGCTTTTGCCAGTAGATGTGTTTTACTGGAAAGGAATTCCGATCAATCATCACCATCAATGAAGATCGTTCGAGACAAACGTTTCTGGTGCCCTAGACGTTAGAAGAGATTGTACTCAAATTGCAACTTTGTGTTAGTGAATCCGCAACATGTTCACTGCATCACGCAGCATGTATTTAATCCAGATCAGAAAAATAAAATCTATTTATATATTTCAGTGTTATATCAGTGATCAACAGCAAACATAAATGCCACCTTTCCAAGTGATTTGATTCCCTTGACGACGCACAGAAAAACAACAACACATGTGATGAACCAGCAGATGGCGATATGGGGTTGGATGGCGCCAATGTCATCTATCCCTGACGAAACGCCAAGAGCCTTGTTCCTGGGGAAGTAATGACACATAATGAGTTATAGCATTCCAACAAATGTAGCATGGACATTCTGTAGACTGTACAAATGTGCCTCAGTTACACAGGTTAGGTTGATTTTATTGACAATGGGCAAAATATGCACGAATGCTAAAATGGTGGTAGTTCAGGACATGTAAGAAACAGATTCATCTGACCTATACCATTTTCGACACATTGTTGCAAACAGGATCAAACTTGCTTTAATACCAAATCAGATACTTTTGAAACAACACATAATAAATGAAATGGCATCTTACACTCATGTAGTAATCTCTTTGTATTTGATGTACTGTTGAAACATAAATAACATAAATATTGGCTACCTCCTGTGATGAAAATAGTTAAGGACATGTATTTCTAAATTATTACTTTGCAAAATTAAGGAATATATCATATGAAAAATTATACTCACTGCCAGAACTCTTCCACTGATGTATGAACAATGGCATTAGAAGTTTCATTAGTTTCTGCATATCCTACATCTGTGTTTGCAGTTGTACATTCTGGGATATTGCTGGCTTGTGTTGGTTCCATTGGAGCATATACTGAACTATTTAGTCCAGTGTGAAGGGCAACTACACACTGTGGTGTGTTCCAGGGGTTGCCACAGGTGGTCCAGGGCAGGACGGCGGAGAAGGAGCTGTAAGTGTAGTACAGGGCCCAGGCAAACATTATGCTGTAGTAAGGGACGGCGATACAGCTGATTACCAGTTCGCAAATGCCAAGCCCTGGACAGGTCGAAATCATAATGATCTGATATGCATATGTAACAATAATAATCCAGTGCCTAGAAATTATAAATGAAAATATGATATTACATGTGTTTAGCCCCACAGAGACATCATCATACCATGCAAATAGCAGAAAGCAGGAGCAAGTAGATGGGATAGCCTATCAAGGCATCGGCAACACCTAATGTGTACAACACAAAAAGTCATTTATTTTGGAAATGTTCCAAATTGTAGGAATTAAAAATATGAAACTACAACCCATCTCCTATTATAATGGCTTGTAGATAATCTTGTACTGTCATCTAGGCGCTTCTTGTAATAGAATAGTGTCATGTACATGAGGTATGTTATTACCTTTAATGAGTGGACATATTGACCAAATCTTTATAGGTCCTTTAGCAGAAAACTGACCAAGAGCAACCTCCAGGATGAAGAGCGGGATTGCCAACACAGCTGTTGAGATGACGTAGGGAATCAGGAACGCCCCTTTAAAGAAACATTGGTTCAACTGGTAAGTTCCATATAATAAGTAGCTGTATAAAATCGCAAGAGAAGCATTATGTCATAATCTTTGGCAAAACATTTATATATTTAAAAAAAAAATATACATATTTGATATTATGCCTTGATACCACGACATAAAATATATTTCGCAATTTTATACCTGCTGGATAGAATCGTACATATCAACTGTTTAATTCATAATAGCGTAAGACTGCATTAAACACGCACACCTACCTCCCCCGTTCTTTTGACAGACATAAGGAAACCTCCAGAGGTTACTAAGACCCACGGAGAATCCAAGAACTGCAATCATACCCTGGAACTGGTTGGACCATTGTGGCTTCCTTACATTCAGCTCTTCTTGACTCGAATGATCCACCTGTAATACATGGATGTGGTTTCCGGATTGACAGTGAAGTTAGCTACACCACAATCCAAAATAGCCTGTCCTTAAAATGCGATCATGGCTTGTTGTCATCGGATCTGGTACAGTGCGGTATAGTGATATAGTCTGAATTCAGTAGTTTACAAGATTTCAAATCAGGTAGGTTCATGCCTGACCTTCAAATGATTGGCTATAACGGTTATAACGTTCAACCATTCCAACAAAGACTCGGGTTGGATCCCCTCAGGTATACAATGTGTGGGGCCCATTTCTGCTATTATCCGATGTGATATTGTTTAAATATTTCAAAAACTATACTCGTTTATGTGCAATATATCATCATAATACACTGCAATTGTATGGGCAATTTATATCTTTATATTTTCCGACCTATCGAGAGATATCTCAACATAAACAGAAAACTGTAGACACAATTGTTTACCATGTTACTTCAATGAAATTATTTAAAAAGAATGACATCAAGTTACCTTTTATAGAATAGACTTGACTTACCTTCTTCCCCCGGACAAGTTCCGATAAACACGTATCATTTTCCTGATCGTTCATAATGCAGATGAATGTATCTACCAGAAAATGTATACAGTGCAGTGTGAGGGAATATTATATATTCATTGTAAACTGAACAGCTGTGCTCACATTCTTGTGTAACTTGTGGAAAGAATGCGTATTATTTCACACCGTTTGAGATAATAGACATTAAACGGCAGTTGGTGTTCCATGGTGATGACGTTAGGTCAGATTAACACGGACTACTTTAATAAAATAATGTAATTCACAAATGTGTAATCTGGGATTCGAACCCTCACTCTCAGAGTCAGCCGCCGAATCGACAGCACACAAAGCCAGCCACCTGACCCACTCAGCCACCGTGGCTTTAGTAGCTGGCGATTATTTGCCTCTGAGAGTGAGGGTTCGAATCCCGGATAGGACTCAACCTAATAAAAGTCCTGGATTCTGTAATTCACTGGGAAAGTGTAATCCCAAATACAACAAATGTTACATTGGACCTCTTTCAAAATGGCATTGTGTATTCACAGTAAATATTATCTAACACGACTGTACACGTTATTCATATTTTAACGTATTTTATAGGAATTTGCTACTAAAGGCCAGTCATAACCATATCATGAGCATTTGTTTATAAATCACTATCTACTAGTGTTTGCACCAAGTGTCCCTTAGGCAAATCAAGTGTTTATTTGAATGCTAACCTATTTCACCTTACCTCAACCTACGTCAAACTAAGCGATTATACAACCCCAAACTTCCAATCCCATAACCATTCCTTTAGAATAATATTATCTTTTTACCATTGGCAGTATTGACAGGAAATTCTTATACAACATCCTTCTCTGTAGACAAGCTTTCTTTCCATGTCAATATATCATGTTATTAAAGCTAAGAAACTTACCATAACGATATGTGCAGTTGCTTTTGACCCTGAAGGTCCGGGTTAGCATGAACCTTCAGTAACCCATGCTTGTCGTAAGAGGCGACTAACGGGATCGGGTAGTCAGGCTCGCTGACTTGGTTGACACATGTCATCGGTTCCCAATTGCGCAGATCGATGCTCATGCTTTTGATCACTGGATTGTCTGGTCCAGACTCGATTATTTACAGACCGCCGCCATATAGCTGGAATATTGCTGAGTGTGGCGTAAAACTAAACTCACTCACTCCCTGTTGCTTTTGTAACTCTATCCTCTACCTTCGGCCGATCGCCTACGTCCAAAAAGAACAATCAATTTGTATTTATCTGACTGGAGACTGGTCTGACATACTTATTTGAAGGAGTTAATGGTTTAATCAGCAAATAATCTGTTTACCTCACAAACATGTACCTCGGAAGCTGCAGAGGTTAAATACTTTCCGAAATGGGTATGGAACAATCCATGACCGAATTGGTGACATTGGTGACTGCAACGTTCATTCTTGTCTTCATATATCAAGCATCTGTATAACACTCACACTAAATAAATTCCATTCAATGTTAATTGAACAAGCATTGCCACTAAGGTGACATAATCCCCCGCCGCAAATTATCAAATCAGACTTATAAAAGAAATGAATGTTTAAGATGAAGTTATATGTCAACAAAAACAGGAACAGTCAACTTCTCTTGATATCTTGCTCTTTAGTTGTTCAAACACACACATATTTTCAAGACTGACTTTCGCCTTGACATGAATGTCATAGTGTATGAAATATGCAAAAATAGTACTAAAGAAATTGCTTATTGAAAAACATTCAAGGGAAGTCTTGAAAGACTATGAAGAAAATCCAGTGAACCGTTCTTGAAATATCTTGCAGACAATTCAGGTTAACATGCTGAAATCTTCAGAGTATCGTCGTGACCCTGAAAATTACGTGAATGTCACCAAAATTGACTGGGCCCTTTGCTTTCCCTAGATGAAGCTTGGTGTCAAATATGAAGAAAATTCAGGGAATATATTTTGCGGTATCTTGCTGACTATCTTAACATGCAATTTAACATAATGAAATAATAAAAGTGTCGCCATGACCTTGAAAATTATGTGAAGGTCACCAAAGTTGACTGAGCCCTGTGCCTTCCCTAGGTAAAGCTTTGACACAATATGCAGAAAATCCAGAGAAAGGTTCTTGAGATAGCTTAACATGCAGGTTAACATGCTGAAATCTTCAAAGTGTCGCCATGACCTTGAAAATTGAGATAGCTTAACATGGAGGTAAAACGTTAAAGTCCCCTTGTGACCTTTCTTATATTGTGATAAATCTAGGTACCAAATATGAAAAGA